ACTCAATTCTGATATTACCTGGAATTACAGATGAGGACTTAGTCCTATGGGACTGTCCCCACCTCTGATGCCAATCCCCAGTCCAGGTTTTGCTTCTGACCAACTAGACATAAATCAGAGGCTCCCACAATCCCTGCACTCATTCTTTTCAATTGTTTGCTGGAATGGCTCTCAAAACTCAGGAAAACAGTTGCCCTACCAGGTTATCAGGCTTCTATAAAAGGGTACAACTCAGAACAGGCAGAACAAGCTCCGAGGGGGCATGGAGCTTTGGTGGACGCTTTCTTATGGTGGATTAAATCATCGGCCATTGGCGATTTAAATCAATCTTCAGATCCTTTCTCCTGTGAAAGTTGCAGCCCTCAAATCACATGGTTAGGTCTCCTGGCAACCAGTTCCCCATGCTGTAGTCATCTAGGACTTTTCCAAAAGTCACCCCCTTATACAAACTCAGATGAGGTTGAGAGGGGCTTGTTCTGAATAACATAGATGTTTCTTTTACCATTTAAGAAATTCCAAGATTTTTTGGAATTCTGGGTGGGCAACAAGATGAAGACCAAATATATATTTCTTATTGTAAGTCACAATATCATGTAACCCTACTCCATCTTCATCTTCTGCCACTCTTGCACTTGTTCAGGAGACTTTTGTTCCTCCCTCAAACACAATAAGCTTTTTCTGCCTCAGGGCCTTTGCACTCTGCTCATTGTGCATAAAAGTGATCACTTTCATGAATGGTAATTCAGCCCAGATATTATCTCTTCAAAGACACCTTCCAGATCCCCATCCTGGCTGGCTCCTGGCTGGTAACTTATCTTGTGATCCTCCATATCATAGTAAATATTTTCATCTTTGTGAACCCTATGATGATCTCTGTTACAACTACTCTTGTAGCATAAAAGTGGCTATAGACTAAATGGCTGTGGTTATGAGGCATAAGTCTCTTTATAGAAACTGTTAAAAGATTAAATTATAAATCTGGTTTTGCAGATCTTAATTGGATTTTTTTTTTTTTTTGTGATTCCAGAATCAGGTTAGCCTAAATCCGAAATGGTTCAGCATGCTCACTCTATAACATGGGCAGGTTTTATTTATAGACAGAGAAAAGAAAGTGATTTGCAGAAAACAAAATGAGGCCAGGTGCCGGGATGCACACCTGTAATCCCTGTGGCTTGAGAGGCTGAGGCAGGAGGATTCAAAGTTCAAAGCCAGCATCAGCAACTAGCAAGGCCCTAAGCAACTAAGTGAGGCCTTATGTCAAAAAAATAAATAAAATAAAAAGGGATGGGGATATGGCTCAGGGGTTAAGTGCTCCTGGATTTCAATCCCTGATAACAAGAAAAAAAAAACACCAAACTGAGGTACAGAGACAGCCCTAATGGTTTTTAGTCCTCCTCTTATTTGAAGATGGGTTGAATTGTTGAAAGTTAGTCATCTATGATTGGCTAAGACTCAGCTACCTGTTATAGGAGTAGGTTACCGTCTGTTTGCTCTTTAAGTTAGGTTACAATTCACTGTGTGGATAAACTTGAAAGCCAAACTTAGGATGTATTGGGAGCAGCTTTAGAACAAACTTAATAGCACTGAAGTTTAAATTTCATGAAGATTTCACATATCATGAAGTATTCCTCTTTTTTGGTCAACTATTTTATAATGTGAAAATCATCATTAGCTTGTAGGTTACAAAAGCAGGATTTGACCCATGAATGATTGTGCTTTACTGCTCCCTGCTCTATACCATTATCCTTATGTTATATTTTTGCTGCGCCCCTCCCCTGACTCAGGCAATGGCAAGGCCCTACTGAGGTGGATGGCGCAAGGCGTCCATCCTCTGGAGGAGCGCAGTATGTTTCTGGGAATGGGCTGGTTTGTTTTTGTATTCCTTTAATAAGTATAGTTGCGATTTCTCATATGACCATTAAGTATGAAGGAAAAAACATGACTTTCTCAATTAATGCAACTACTTCTAAAGAATAGATCTGTTTGCTCTAAATGCAATGATTCAGCTGTGGAGCGTAAATTGTTAATGTCTAATGAAAAATTCCCTGTATTCCTGTCAAGGAAGTTTTTGAGAAATTAAATTAAAATCTAGAGAAGAAAAATTAATGTTAAGAAGACAGATTAGTGCTTAGTACTGGGCAACTTGTTTTTGTTCCTGTGCACAGTGGTTTGTGCTCTTACTCTTGTTTGATTAAAATTAATAACAAGTCAACCACTTGCCGTAACCATGGCACCGGTTCCAGTCAGTAAGTCAAGAAAGAATATTCAAGGTATAGGCCAATAGTTTGGGACATTTCTAACTATTATTAAAAATTAACTAAGCAGAAACAGCTCAAAGGAAAACACGAACTGAAAGTACAAATGCTTGCTTATGCATAAGCCAAGATACATTCTTCTATTCTAATTGTAGATACGTAATATTTTGTTTCTTTGAATAATGATTCTTGTTTTGTAACCACAAAGTACTGTGAGCCTGCCAAAATGAAAAGTATATATGATCAACTTCACAAGTAAAGATTGGGATCAACGCCTTCACTTTGGTGTCTGTGTTGTTTCTCCACCCCCCTTTCACCGACTCCTCACCATCCGTTCATCTCCTGAGACCCCCTGTTGGAGCTGGTCTCAACATGTTTTTATTTTTCCTAGTGTCTGACATTATCTTATGTATTCATTTGTTTGTTTTTCTCTCCCTCTTCTGGTAGACTGTAAGCTCCCTGAAAGCAGGTTATTTGGTGTATCCACTGTATTATTTCTATTGACTGAAGCTGTGCCTGGAACATAAGAGATGGTCTATGAATATTTGGTGATTCAAAGAATATATTGTGGGAGACTGCCACGTCATGTGACCAGTGTTCTTCTTCTCCTGATTGGTTGAGGCTCTGTCAGTCACTTCCAGTGATCTGGCCACTCTTAAGTAGCTAAAGATGGTAGCCCCGATCTTGAGATTAGACATAATGCAAGCAAATGTGTCTTCTTGTGTGGGCATGCCTTCCTACATCCCCAGGGATTGAGCTACGCTCACCTGTTCTTTTGAGATATTACCCCTTACCCTGTTTGGGATAGAATGTTCCTTGGAAACGCCCTTTGTATGTCCCCTTCTCTTTCTCTGCCTTTGGGTGTGGCCTTCCTAAATGTCAGTCAACCTGCTGACAGCAGACATCATGAAGCTAGACTCAACCCCCTGAACCTGACCCCTTGCCTCATTTGAATGGCTTCGCCTCAATAAAGGGGTTCAGCATGCCCTCCTCTCTCTCTTTCTGTGGACCCTTAAGGTCAGAGGAGCCATCACAGGAACCCAAAGAAAAAGGTATCTCTGTCTCTTGTGTGGTTATTTGGTGCAGCCCAGTTCCCCTGGAGTAACCCCTGAGTGTTTTAGTCGCGAGCAATGTGGCATTATATAGTTCATGAGTCACTATATCTAATAAGGTCTCACCTCTAAGCATCTCATGTATATCATATTACAGGTGACACACCCTATCCAGGTCTTCCCCTCTCCCTGGCTGTTCCTATAGTCATCTCTCAAGCCTTCCTGACCTCTTGTCCCTCATTCCAGTCTCTCTCACTTGTGTTATATACCCTGATAAAGTGTTTCTTTTATCATTGCCTTTCTCAGAAAATAACAGCTTATCACTGTCTTTCCCATACCAAGCCCACCCCCCTCCTTTGGGCATTCAAGGCCCTTACCAATCAATTCCCCTGCTTTGCCAACCTGTCCCTGGGCCTACTCTATAAGGAGCCTTCTGCTCCTGCAGCCTCATTGTCACAGAATCTACTGCTCTTTCCGGCTCAGCTCTTTGCTCAGGAAGTTCATCAGAACCAGTTGGCTTTCCCTGTAGGAAGGAACTGGACCCCTTTAGAATGTGAGGTCAGTGTGCAGCAAATGGTGGGGAAACCAGGAAGCGAGGCACTGGGCCTGAGGAAAGCTGGAGGATGGTAAGTAATCAGGACCAAACATGGCAGAAGAGTTAATAAGTGAGTTAGGAGGGTCTTAGTTATCATTGAAAAGCGCTGCTTGGTTGGGTTGACCAGGCCAATTATTATTATTATTTTTTCAACCCACTGTGCAGACAAACATGTGGAGAATTTTGTTAAAATGAAGATTCGGGAAGTAGGTCTTGGGTGGAGGCCTGAGGCTCTCCATTTTTAATAAGCTCCCAGGATGCCCAAACTTCTGGTTCTGAGATGATTCTTTGAATGTTGAGGGTCTAATTAAATGCTCAGAAAAAGTGCTTTGTCCACGTGACTTACAGGAACAGAAGGCAGTCGGCCTACCCCTCCAGGGCCTGCCCATATGTCATGAGAACCCCACAAAGGAGTGAGCCCACAGCAAAGACGTTTCTTACATTCTAAACGACTGAAAGAAATGTAGGATGACTCAAGTCTCCTTGATGATGAAGGGGATGCTGGAAACTGAGGACAAAGCTGAATGTGTGAGGTGGCAAGAAAGGGAAGCAGCATCTTTAATCCTGAGATGGCAGTAAAAATAGCCGCTGTGAAAAAACAGATTCTAATGTTGGCTGGCTGGCTGGCCTGCACACACACACACACACACACACACACACACACACTGTAGGCTGAAGTGCTATACTTTTTTTTTTTTTTTTCCTGGTACAGATGGATTGTCTCTACGGAGAAGAGAGATAATACATCTGATCATCTTCTGATCTACCATAGAATACAGTTCAGAATCCATTTCTGGCTTGAGGACTAGTCATGGTACTTTACCCTATCAAAACAGCTTGGGTTGTTTCTGTCATGTGCATCTCCAAACAGAAGAGTATTTTGTTGGTACAATAAATGTGACTCTGATATCAGTTCCTCTTTAACGATTAGCCTGGTCCTTGTATCTTTGGCTAATCATTAGCTGTTCTTTTGATGAATTTATATGTCCTTTCCGCTTGGCCTTTGTCAAACCATAAGGTATCCTGACTCGTAATTATTTTTAAGGCCACTTTCCTCATCACAGTGATCTCACCTTCCTTTTTTTTTTTTTTTCCCAGAGGAACTTCTACTCACGTGACTGGACTCTGATCTTGGCATAGAACCGTGGCAATGGTAAGTTGTGGAGTGTCTCACCCTACCTAGTGCCAGGTACAGTCAGGTACAGGATGTGTATTCAAGGGACTGTTGATTTAAGCAAAGTGTTGTTTGCTCAATAAAGAGGAAGTAGGAGGGCAGTTCCTTTCTTTTTTCTTTTTTTTGAACACCATTTTAATTTTTTTCAGGGGTAGTGAGTAACTTGATCCTGAAAATTAATTCAAACAGAATTCTTTGAATTCTTTTGAATATAGAAATGAGAACATAGACATGAGTTAGAGTTTTCTCTCTGCAGAAGCGCATTGCATGATCAATTTAGGCAAAAGAAAAAGGAAAAGTAAGAGATGACTACTGTGACCATTTTGATGTGGCCCCATAGGGTCAGGCTAATCCCAAGGGGTGCTTCTTAGCAATGTGTGCTGGTCGTCTGCCTCCTGCTCTCAATTAGGATCAGGCTCCTTGGTTATCTGATCTGTGGGACAGGCATGAAATTGGATCCCTTTGAGAGTTCTGTGAAGTTCAGTACTGTTGTGGAAGGGGAGCCTTTTGGCTACAAACGTGGCTGTACCTAAGGTTGGCCATCTGTTCTTCTCCCATCCAAAGTAGGTTTCTGAATAGGCAGGGGATTTCGATCCCTGGTCTTCTGGGAAGAAATACTAGAAGAAGCAACTTATACCTGGAGAACAACTAAAGATCCTGATAGCTCTGGATGACTTCTTTTAGGAAGATGGATATGTAAACTATCCTGAACACATGGGAATATAATAATAATTATTATTATTATTATTATTAGTTGTAGATGGACATGATGCCTTCATTTTGTTTATTTATTTTTATGTGGTGCTGAGGGTTGAACCCAGTGCCTCACACATGCTGGGCAAGCACTCCACCACTGAGCCACAACCCCAGCCTCGGAATATACTCTTTTTTTTTTTTTCAGAGTAGAAATTAGAAGTTTATTAAAGGACACCAGAAAAGACTTCTCCCGGAGGAAGAAGGGGACCCAAGAGGTGGAATCCGTGGAAGGGATGTTGTCTCCCCTTTTTATAGTTTTGGTGATGGAATGTAGGTGGGAAGGCCCGAGGGGTGGGACACAGGTGGGCCAAAGAAGTAATCTGGTCAGGAAGGACTTCTGAGTCAGCACCTTTTTGCTGGGGGCTGTTCATTAACATTTCTTTGAGGTGGACTTTGGCCTAGGGCCTTTTCGGGACTTCATTAACATTCCATGAGTTGTCCTGCGTTTCCCGGAATCATTGCCAGCATGGCCTCCATTTTAGATTTCACTCGGCATTAGACCCGATTTATCTAACTACACTGACTACCTAACTTTAAATCTGGCTTCATTCCCCCCTCTAATTTGGGAACTCCTTACTGCTGTAAGGAAGGGGGGCGAAGAAGATCTTTCTGGCTTCTTCAGGCTGAAAAGGGACGATGTGGGGCAAGCAGTTTGGAGTCCCCCTTTAAAAATCGGGTCTATGGAGTGGTCCATGATAGAAGTCTGATTGAGAAGTAATAGGCTGGAGGGCCATTTGAGTGATGGATGGTCTATAAGAGAAACAAGAATTCATTAGTACTGGAACCATATCGATGCAGCAATAAATGCCATAGCACAGGAATATACCAATGAGTATGATGGCAAAGACAAAGACTAACAATGTTTTCTACCAGGAAGTACCAAGAACCAGGAGCTAAGATATTGTTTCCATGACAAAGTTGCTGAGGACATGGCTTCTATCTGAGCATGTAAATCTTTAAGGACATTTGTCACATTGCCAGAAATGTCAGGGATGTAAACACAACATTTAACTTTTAGGGTTACAGACGTTCTTTCCCTTAAGATATAGTTTAATAATTTAATGTCATCTGGTCTTGCAAAATCCTTTTACTAGTATGACCTCTGTGTCTAATAGAGAAATCTTTAATTCTGTTACTGAGGGCTGGATAACCATACTTGCAAACTCTAAGCCTACCTGTGTAAGTTAGAAATAAAGGCCTTAAACTAAAAACTACTCTGGCAGTTCCTTTTGATAGTTATCAGGCATTCCTGTCTGAGAATCTCTTTTGTAGCCTCCAGTTTACTTATTTTTGGAAGTTACATTTAACTATTATTATCATTTAAAATGCCCAGGAATAGCTGTGTTTTGGCTTTGACTGTCTTTGCTAAGTGTTTAAGATGAAGCAAGTCAAACTGACTTGTTTCTATCTATTGTTAACAGTCAGCTGAGTTTCCCTGGGAGTCCTCGGGAACTTCACAGCAGCTTCTCAGTTCAGCTAGTGCCATTTGCGCTGCTAGTGCCATTTGCGCTAGGATGGGTCCAGGCCTTGCTTGACCATGTGGCTTCCCTTGGAAGCATCAGGGATGTCTCCCTTTTCTGATGACCCTCCTCTTCACAGCAAATGCACTGATTGGCTTTCTGTCCTCCACTGGTCTCATTAATCTCCCTGATCGGGAGGTTATGTGGCCTAGAGTTGCAAAGCTCTTTGGAGAAGTCCCCTATTCCCTGATTCAGACTGACTTAGAGGGCAAGAGCCAAATATTGGTTTTCTTGGCCCTTTTAATTTAACTTTAATTTTAAAACTTAATCTTAAACATCCAGCAAATAAGTTTCAACAGCCTTATACTAAGAGTACTGGGCTTTAATGTCTATCTCTCTCTCCTGTAGGTGATAACTCCTTATCTTAAATTAACCCAGGTTGTGTGTTCTTAAAGCAGTACCTCTGCAAAACATTAACAGGCAATCTTAAATCATTTATAAGAAAACTACAAAATAAAATTATCAAGAGTAAAAGCATATTTAGTTCATGTAATAGCTACCTTGAATTTTGGTAGAGTTATACATTATAATCCCTTGTTTGAGATCCTGGTAATCGTGACAAAAACCAACTTTTGGACACAACTTTAAATGTACTGAAATCTGGCCTACTTCTTCCATAGTCACTTTCACATGTAGTGAGATGGGACAGAGCCTTATCTCAAGTAAGGCAGGGCTCTTCATAAATCTTAAGTACTGTAGTTCTGAAGCTGATCTTTGCTTTTTAAACATCATTTTACAAAGCCTACATAAATTGTTGTGAACTTGAGCAAACACAACATAATATCACATCTAAAACATGAATTAAAGAAAAGCTGAAAGCTTTTAACCTTTTGTAGAAAAGTAGTAATGTACTTTTGTGTTTTGCAATAAAACCTTCACACAGATTAGGCTCTCATTAACTTAAAAATACATTTAAATTGTATCTCAGTGTAAAAAGTAACATAGAACTTTACATCTTATGGATAACAAGTCCAGTTATAGAACACAAATGATATAAATAAATCAACATGTTTTTCTTTTTAAATCTAAAATTACCATACAATTTTAGAACACCAGCTTGATATAATGCTCTTACTAAAGCTTCTACCTTACAGACTTGTATACCTGGAAGATATGGACACATTAACACCACAATTACATTGATGTTTTTATATTAACCAAGTTTAGCTTTTAAAGAAATAACATAGCACAATTCTCTAAAACAACAGCACTTGTTTGACCAGCTGTTTAATTTCTTTAAGATTACTTGCTCAAAAACTTACACTTATAAGCAACTTACACAGACCTTTTTATATCATTTACTTAAACCCTCTTAATCATATAGACTCTTATCCAGAAACACGTTTTCCCTCTATTAAATCCATATCTAGAACCTTCTAGTTTCTCTTTTTTATCTGTTAACCTCCTTCTGTTCACATTTTGAAACAATACTTGTAAATTTTTGAATTTAAGCAGATTTAACATTTTATTAGGGCCTTTTTGAACATCTAGAAAAACTTATAAACTTAATTTTAAAGACATCTTTACTTTCATCTGTTTACCCAATTTAAATTGAACCATTTGAATCACGTGAATCAAAGATATTTGGATCCATTTTTTAATTTTTTTATGAGCGCTCCTCATCTGTCAATTGTCATATCACTGCATGATATATACACACATACAGACATACCGACATACAACACATAACACAAGTGTAACACAACACAATAGTAAAGGCCTTGTAGCTTTTTCAGGTGAAATCTCATTGCAATGTTTAAAAAAAACTCCAGTTGATCAAAAATAGAACTTATCAGAAAAACATTAACTTGTCTGTAGGATCAAAATCATGAGCTCAAAAAAAAATACAGAATCTAAGAAAAAAGCAAAAGTCCTAGAAAAAATTGACCGGCCAGTAATTAGTAAATGCCATATAATTTACTTTTTGGTTGGGGTCTAGTTTGAGTTCAGGTAAAAAGATACTTTAACTCTTTTCTTTTTCCTTGGGCCTGAAATCTGCCCTCTGTTGAGCCCCAGCCTTCTTCTATTTGCATATCAGCTTAAGTCCTGGCTGAGGTCTGGAAGGAACTGGGAAAACTGGAATTCTGAGCAGAAACCTCATACCTAAGGCATTTTAACCATAAGTCACAATTTTCAGGTTTGGATATTGAAAATTATGATACAAATTTAAGATACAATTTACAAAATTTCATACCTTTACATTTTCCTACACTAGAAAAACTTGCTCACACAAAACTGAAAATAGGATCTCTACCATCAGAAGAAATTTCTTTAGGATCATTAAGTCACTTCCTTTGTTCTGAAGTTCCTAAAGTAGTATTAAGTTACATTAAGTCATTTGAAAAAAATCTTAAAATAGAACCACACACTACCATGTATATCCAAAATTAAGCTTTAAAAATTTAAGACTGTTGCTATTCAATGTTATTTCAATAAGCCAGACCAACGTTCCAATTCAACATTTTTCCTAAATCTTACACACTGAGGGGAACAGATACCATATCATAATTTACTATCCTTGCCCAAGTTAATGCACTGGTACACCTAGTGAAATCTTCTCAGGCTACCCAGTTCAAAATAAAACTAAATGATTGGGAGTTACTTGCCAACTTGGAAGTAGAGTTCTTTTAATTTTCTATCCTAAGTATTTAAGTTCTCTGGCATGAATTATCTGAAATCACAAACTAAACAATTACCTAACCC